GGATCTGCGCAACGGCGCTCTTGAACCCGACCTTGACAGCATCCAGGCAATCGCTCTCCAACACCCGAATCCGGGCGATCAAATCAGCACGCGGATCATCCACCGGTCTTCTTCAGTTTCGTCCTCGCCCGGACGAAGAGCGCTGTCCAGGACTTCCATGCGAACTTTCAGCGCCTGCACTTCGGCCACCGCTGCCCCCAGCTTCTCCTCTACCGATGTCACCTTCTCCTCAGCACCCTCTGCTCGCTTGCGCTGGTCGGCAGGGTATTTCCGACTCTTCTCCAGCTCCTCAGTAAGTTTGGCCAGGCGCGACTGCATGAAGGTAAGGTCCCCCTGCAATTTGGCCAGCTCAGCGGCAGAGCAACCCTCCTCGTTCAGGACCAGGGCCGTTGTGAAAGTCCGCATCATCGCGGCCAAATCCTCCGCCAGGGTGCGTCGACGAGACTCCCGATCAGCGTCGCGGACAACCTTCACTTCCCCATCATAGACGGTAGGAGACCGGGCCCCGTGAAAATAGCCCGGATGTTGATGGCACGGCGGGACGACGTAGCCCTCCTCGGTCGAGCCAGTCGTTAGGTCAATCAAGCCGTTGGGCTCCTCGGATCTCGGCCTCTTCGCAGCTCCCTGAGACGTAGGAGACTGGCTCTCCTGGGGAGAAGAAGACGAACTTTGGCCTCCCGGCGTCGCGGCCTCCTGCCCGACCAATTGGCTCACCCGCGTCTTCGGGACCGCAGCAGCCCTTGAGGCACGCAGCTTCTTCACCAGCTCTTCGACGGAAGACATATTCGCTTCAAAAACAAACAGAAAGAGTCAGCAATGGACAAAACATACGATCACGAGAAAGAAGAAACATCCTTACCTAGATATTCCAGAGCGTCCGCCCCCGAGGCGCAACCGAGCAGGGTCCTCGTATTAATCAGCCTTTTCTTCGTCCGCACGTTCCCCTGCGCGTCGAGGATGTACCGACCGTCAGGCGTTACCAGTTTCGACGGAGGAAGATCCCGCACAAAGGCCACTATTTTCATGTAGGCGGCCATGTCCCTCTCGTCGAGAGTCCCAGCCCGCACGATGTACCGATCAGTACCGCGGTTGAAGTGCTCCGAGGTCCACAATAAATGTACCTTGGGGAGCCACACAAGGAACCGCTGGCCGTCTACCATTCGCTCTCCCTCGGTGAAAAGAGTGTTCGAACCTTCCTGGGTGATCGGCTTCACGAGGAAGAACCGACCCTTGAAATCTCGAAAAGAGTCGTTGTACGTCTTGAAGAGCTTGGTCGGCTGCTTAAACGAGACCCATCCCTGACGTCCATTCACCGATTGGCGTTGCAGGTGGAAGATGCGAAAAAACAAGGGCACCGTGGCCTCCACCTCGATATAATGGCACACCACCTCGAACGCGCGAATAAAGGCCAGAGCGTTGGGATGCAGCTGGGACGGGGCCAAACGTAACCAGTCAAAAAGGCCCAAGTGGAAAGCGGAGAATGGCAGTCTGAGCCGAGCCTCTTTGAAGTAGAACTCGTGCATAGGGAACATCCGCCGCCCATATCTCGAGCAGATATGATGATGCTCCTTCGGACGATACACCTGCCAGTGTTGCGGCTCCCCTTCCACCGTATCCTCCACGGTAGCGTAGACGTCGGACACGTCGAGCACGAAGCAAGAGGGGGTGGACAACGGCTCTTCGGCCACCCACTCTTCGACGGGGAGGACCCGCTCATCGAAATCTGGGATCTCGGGATCATTGTCTTCGACCATCGTCCTCGGTATCAAGGCCGACATGTACACCTGAAAAACAGAGGACAATGGTGAATTCGATAGCCAAGATCAAATCCACCCTTCCACCACAGGTCAAGTGAAAGGGCGACAACGACAGGAGAGTGACGAGCGCGCGGGCGGTCCCCGAGGGACGCTCCCCGTCGCGCCTCCACGGGGCGTTCAAAGGCTAACCTATTGCCCCTTCCCGGGGTACTCATCAGAAAAGGCACGCGTCCCCGGGGCATTCATCGGAGAAAGCACCCGTCCCCGGGGCATTCATCGGAACAACCAAACCTCCCAGGGGCATTCATCCAAACTCACCCAAAAAACCACCAGACACGGCGGAACGCGCGTCTCTCCTCGGGGCATTCATCGCAGAAATAAAAGAAGAAAAGAGGGAAACTCACTTGTGACGGCGGCGAACGGGATGAAGAACTAACGGCGCGGCGGCGATTCACAACAACGACGAACGGGGAGGAGTCACAGAGTTTCACAGGTAAAACAGCAAGATGAAAAGTAAAAAATGAGCGGGGACCCCCATATTTATAACCTGGCGCGGAACTCGAAGCGACACTAGGCTTTTGAGTGTCCTAGGGTAGCCGCCCTACTACCCACTCAGCGTGTGACACGTGGCAGTAACCTGACGGTCACGTCCCTTCATATACCTTCGACCCGCTCTCCCGACGAAAAAAAGACCTTCGCGCGTGCCCGCATCCCACCGGACACAAAACCGACGAGCCACTCGCCTCGCTACCTCTTTTCATGAAGCAACGACCTTAAGTCCTCGCTCTTCCGCCACATAGCTTCGACTTGGGGGGCTCCTGTTCTGGTCTGGGCTCAGCCTCGCGGTCCAGCCCAATATCGCACAAGGCCCAATAAGTGGAATAGCTTGACCAGGCACACTCCCCCTTAGGACGGGCAGGACACGCTCCCCGCCAAGTGGAGTGGCTCGTCTCGAAGCGTCCACGACGCCCCCCTGTTAGCCGAACGGAGGGCCCTCCGCGGGCGACACTCCCCGTGTCATCGGGCGAGAACCCTTGGTCCTCCCACGTCCTCGTGTGCTCCCCTCCGCGGGGAGAACCACACATCCCCGAGGAACCTCCCGAACTCCCCTCCGCGGGGAAAACAACGCGCCTTGCGCACGTTCTCCACGTGCTCCCCTCCGCGGGAACACGTCACCAACCAACTGCCCACCTCCGAAAGAACAGGTCAAACCCACTTTCCGGAGACCACGGGACAGTTGGACTAGGGCGAAGACCACGTCCTGGTCTTCACTACGCCACGTAAGCCCTAGCAGTCACCTGAGTTGGGCCTGGCCATCCAGCCCAACACAAGTGACCGTTGGCCCAGCGCTGGGGTCTCTATAAATACTCTCTTCCTCAAGAGGGTCAGGTAATTCACTTCTTACCCATTTTCTGTACTTTGCTCTCACTCTACCCAACTCCTTACTTTGGCATCAGAGTGTTTTGCAGGTACACCCCCCTTCTCCTCCTCATCACCGGTGAACAGGTAGCAGTCCAACAGCGTGTGGCCAGTCCGTGATCCCCTTCTGATCAGGTCAGATCAGAAATCATTGTCAAAATTTAACAAACAATGTTTAAAAATGGTTGTCACAATGAAAAGATCAAGTAAGGGGTTGTTTTACTTTAGATCACGATTTTTCATTGTTATCTTAATTTATTTTTGTTGTAATCGTTAGATAATAAGTTATCTGAAATACAATTTTTTTTCAAATATAATACGGATTAGATAACTTTGTAGAAAGATTTATGAAAAAGAGATAAAGGTTTTTTTTACTTTAGATTATGATTTTTCTCTGAAGAATAGACAAAGGTTTTTTTTACTTTAGATCATGATTTTTCTTTGTTGTTTAAAATTATTTTTATTGTAGTCGTTGGATAATTTACCAAAATGCAATAGTTTTTTTTTAACTATTATATATATATATATATATATATATATATATATATATATATATATATATATATATATATATATATATATATATATATATATATATATATATATATATATATATATATATATATATATATATATATATATAAAAGATTATTTTAGTCGAATCAAATAAATTGTAGAGGGAATAATTGTTAAAATATGGGGTGAAATTTTCCATGAACAACTGCCGGTAATTTGGCCAAGGTATCATGATGGGAAACTTTTCTGCATTCTCCAACTTTAAACGCCACCTAGATGTAGTGGAATTGTTTGCCACAAATTATTGTGCATATCTTATCCTATTTATGCATAACACTTGAGTTCTTTATCTTTATTTAGGTTTAGTTGCTTTATCTCTATATTATTTGTAATAAACATTAGTAACAAATAGTCTAAAAAGAATCTTAAATTGACTCTAGTACCGTGTAAAATTTAAATTTGTAAATGCTTATTGATGAATGAAGGTGAGACTTCTCTAACAAGTTCCATCATTTTTCTTAATATTAAAATGCCGAGCCATAACATGCATAAATACCTATCAAGATGCCACAATGGTCCACACTTAGGTCCACATTGACGTTTCACTTTGTCGTTTTATTCGCTTCTTGGTCTCACCATTGTTCAAAAAAGGAAAAAAGGGCATAAAATAGTTAGTGTGGGAAGTGAGTATACTCCTTGTTCAAACTTGGTGTCATGGTTTGAACAATGACAAAGGAGAGACAAAAATAAACAATCAATACAACCAAACACTATCTCTTTTTTTTGTTGCTTTCTCTTCTTTTTATGGCTTATCTATATATATACTCGTTGCAAAAGTGGAAGAAAAAAATAAAAAAGAAGTTTGAAAAGCACATGAGAGAGATATTGAGTGACAAACTTGGGTCCCCTATGTCAACTTTTACTTTCTTGTTTTCTAATTTCTCCAAATAAAAACATATTTTCAATTCAATTTCATTCAATTTGAATCTTCATTCCACTATAGTCTATACCCCTTTTCTCCACACCCCACAATTGATTCATATACACATCATAAGCCATTTTTAAAAAATAAAAAAACTAATCACATGTCATGTGACTTTTATATGCATAAGCTATTGTGCCAACCAACCACTCCCCACTACAAAAGGAAAAAAACATTGACATAAGTGTTGTCTCATTTTTTCCTCCCCCACTCATTATAATACTTGAAATGGCTATAAGAAAAATTTAGCCATCAACTATATACTAATCTTATGGATTTAATAATTTGATGCCAATTAGCCATGCTTGAATTGGTCCAAACATGTGTCATGTGTCCTCAACAAAGATTCTGTGTATGAAATCTCTAAACCTTTTGGAGTATAGCTTAGGATCAACGGCTGAGATGGAAGTAGGATCGACTTGTAGTGACTTGTAAGCATGTTCTATCCTTTTGCTAATATCATAGTCTTGAAGAATGTCAATGATACCAAAGTAAAGGATTACATCAGAGATCTCATTACTACTCTTTGAAGGAGTAGAATTGTTGCTTTTTGCACTACACATTCTTGCAGCTCTGGCAGGCATGTTCATTCCGAGCCGGATTAGAGGACCGCTGAAATATCAAGAATCACAATCAATATTATAGGCGAGATCGATGGCCGAGATCAACTAATGCATGTAAATGCGTTGTTTTCTAGACGTGAGAAACGTGGGCCCGTTGTGTTATAAAAAAACACCACTGATCCATCAAATCCCAGTCAGATAGCATTTGGTTTTTACCTAGAAAATAAAAATGACCCCACCAGCATTTGTTTCAAAAAATGTCAACACAACACAGCAATCTCCAATTATGTTAGAACAACTTGGGGTCACTTTCGGTGCATCTCTATGCAAAAACATAGGGATCAATATTCTTAAAAAGAGTTCAATAAGTCTTCTCTAGAGAATGGTAAATAAATAGTATAACACTCATTCATTACTACTCAGTGATTTGTTAGTTCAAGATCATAACATCTTGACACTTTATGTGACAATGGGCCATAGTAAGCTTTCAAAACAGAAAAAAGTATTCAACCTATCTGTATGTCTTAGACCCGGGTCCATACGCAATAAACGGCAGGGTGTGGCACATGCATAGTAGTGAAAGCAATTGCCACCAACAGATGCAGACAAGATAGTGGTGTTAAAGACAAAAGTGTACAACCCCTATAAATCATCCCAGTATTAGTAACCTTACATCAGTGCTTCAAAGGTAGTCCTATTTGACTACATTTGTACAATGAAATGCTTGCAAGGTTGGAATTTACAATATAATTGCTTAAGCCATAAACTAAAAGAAGTGCATCGAGAATTCTAAATTTCAAAACATTGAATTCTGTTGAATAATGATGATTGAAAAGTACAAGGATATTGAGAACAGTCTTAAACAAAAATAAAGGAAAAAAGAGCATACCGGGGTATGTGCGTATCATCATCATGCATGTCTCTCTTGCCTGCTAAATTCATGATCCATAAGATTTGTCATATCTTTTGAGGATTTCAACATTTGAAAAAGAGAAAGAACATTATAAGATGGAAATAAGACAAATACCTGACGGCATATCACGCGGTGAACTTTCCGTTTCATCAACTGAGTGATCATCGCGGAAATGAAGGCCAATCAAAAGACTATAATCCATGATTCCCTCAGCTTCCAGAAACTCACAGTCTCTATCAAGTTGCCTGACCATCATAAGCCATTATACACAAGATCAACTCTATAAGAACAGCATGAAAATTTTCAAAAGGTAAGAAGAATGTCCGACTTGGTCCGCTCATACCATTTTAGCTCTTGAAACCAAGACTGTTCTAGGCGAAAGACAAAATTAAGATCAAGGTCTTTAAGAGTGGTAGTCTCGTCAATCTCCTCCCGAGGTTTATCCGTGATTCGTCCATGAGAAGAACCTTTGAGATCAAACCTTTTATGAATCCGATACTCGGAACAAAACACATTTCCCATCACAATAAACCGGATCTGTTTTTGTTCCACAGCACTATAAGTTTTCAATATAAATTGCAAGATAACTCAATGTTTTCAATTATGAAATCATACCTTTTGACCTCCAACAGGTTTGATACAATGTGCCCCTAAAAATGCCGTAACCAAAGTGTTCTTGTACTTACAAACATGTTGATAGTAACTTGGAAGCATTCTGGTAAGCACCTGAGACAGACATGGGACACCAGCTAATTATGACCAAAGCTGAAACCGAAATTTCACCTTACTTAATACAGTGTTCAAAATATAATCTCTCTTCAAAGTAACGATTGCGGGAAATCAAAAAGCAAAACAACAAACCTTGACTTCAGATTTCTTCACGGTCTTGATTATGAAACGGTCATCTTGAGTGAGGTAAAAGATGCTTCCACTTTTTCCAGGAGAAGACATCTCTCTGAGTGAGTCACTTCCACAAATCGCAAGTGTGTAATCCACAGGATCTATGGCAAATAATTCCCTTAGATGTCTAAATATCCAACCAACCAACCCACCAACAAAAAAGTAACAACCAAGATATATGCACAATTAGTATAGAAATAGAAAATACACACACACAAGCAATTCTTCTTTACTTAGAAACATAAAACATTACAGCATCAATAAAATTCAAGCAAGTTGTTAACACCTGAACACCATGGGGCAATAGTCTTTCCACCTGAAGTCCATTGATTGATGTTGAGGTGCAAACTTGGATCCTTCTAGTGGCAATCTAGTCCAGAACTTCTCCTTAGGATCAAAATCTCCTACTCTAAGTTCTCTAACAACCGGAGCATACTTGCCAACAGTATATCTATAAGCAAAAAAAAACATATCACACGATCAAACTCGTGCTTGGTCACTGTCGTGTCTAGTGTCTGTGTTTCATAGCAAACAAAAACCAAAGCAATACCTGATACCCAATTGGAGACTGATCATAAGATCATAACTCTTATGTCCCTTAGACACAATTTGACCAGGCTTCTTAACATCACCATCAAGAGACCAACAAGGACTCTTATCCAACACACCCCCACAACTTTCTCCACTGTTTTCAGATTCACTACCATCTTTATAAAACACAGAAGCCTCCACATTATCAACAATTTCACAAGTAATATCACCGGCTTCACCATCAAGCTCCCATATACAAATCCTTGGAAAACCAACGCCCTTTGAACCATCCACCGAAGATCTCTTCCTGGCCATCATCATCTCACACTGTTTCTCTTCATTCCCAAAACTCTCACCACACCAAGTAAAAACTCCATTCCCCTTCGGAACACCGTTCTCCCAAAACCCTTCATAACGATTCCCATTAGCCCAAACCAAAACACCTTTACCCCATATAGCACCATTCTTCCACTCTCCAACGTACTCATTTCCGTTTTTCCAAACGTACCTTCCTTCCCCGTCTTGCAAGTTGCACCTCCACCATCCCTCATAGACATCACCATTCCCGTAACGCTTCTCGCCGAATCCATTTTTCCGATCAGCAAACCAGGTCCCTCGGTAAACATCCCCGTCGACTCCAATGAATGACCCGAACCCTTCCATTCGACCTGATTTGAACTCGCCTTCGTAGGTAGCTCCCGACGGCCACGAGAATCTTCCTTTACCGGAGGCTTTTCCTTTTCTCCACTGACCTTCGTACATACACCCGTCTGACCAGAGGTATTTCCCGGTGCCGTGAGGTTTGTTTCCTAATAAAGCTCCGGTGTATATGTCACCGTTGGGGAGAGGCTTATCTGTAACGGCAGTGTGGTTTTTGGAGGGAAAGTTGATGTTAATGCGTTGTTGGTGTGGAAGAGTGAGAAGAGTGTCTTGCATTGTTTGTATTATTCACCGTCGTGGAAGAGTTGCCGGAGAGTGAAATGATGGAGGAAGCATTTGAGAGAGAGAGAGAGTGAGAGGATGCGCACGGGTAGTAGCAGAATAGAGAGTGGTGAATGTTGTTAGTATTGTTGAGTCACGATATGTGATAATAATGTGTGTAGAAAAAGAAACAAATGTTATGTTTCCACGTGGTTTTTCTTACACTGCTCCCACGCCTACGTTCTGTTCTCCCTAGTCACCGACGCCACCCTATATTCTGAAATTTCAACTGCCTATGGAAAGTTTATGGCTACATGTTTCACGATGCTGTCGTAACACATTCACAAGTTGTTTTTGGTTTGTCATTTTTCGATGTCTAATTTTGTTTTTTTTTATTCAATTTAATTCATAAAATAACAACTAAAATATTTTATATATTTAAAACTCATTTTAAATATTTCATAATATTTATGAATTAATATAAGTTACTAAATTAGTTGTAATTATTAAATTTAGATGAAAAAATTAAAGAAAGGAGAATGATTTAGTTGTAATTTTTATGTTTTTTTATTTTAAACAAAGATAATATTTATACTAATAGAAATATAATTATTACACTAATGTAATAATTGGATTTATTATTTTAACTTTGACAAAGTATGTACTTATAATAACTTGTCGTTACTATTTAGATAGATATTTTTAAATAATAATATTATAACACCTCTCTTTTAAAATATCTATTACAGTGCTTCATCGAAGTCTTGTCAAGGAGAAACTTATGGAAACATATATTGTCTCGTTAAAAATCTTATTAGAAAAAATCCATTGCGATAAATACAACGTGATGCTCCCCCATGATAGAGCACATTTAGTTATTCTTTAAAGATCTTGAAGTTGACGCATTCTAATATTTTTTACGTGTTTCTTAAAAATTGATGTAGGAAGTGTCTTTGTGAAGAGATCTGTCATATTATCACATGAACGGATATATTGAATATTAATCTCTTTATATCTTTCAAGTTCTTGTGTGAATAAGAAAATTTTTGGAGGGATAAGCTTGATTTTGTCACTTTTGATGTAACCTTATTTCATTTGGGTAACACATGCAACATTGTCTTCATACAAAATTGTTGGATTATTATCAATGGGTAAATCAGATGCTCCTTGGATATGTCTAATTACCGATCGTAACCATCTACATTCTTTGTTTGCTTCATGAATAGTAATTAATTCAGCATTATTTGAAGAAGTTGCTACCAGTGTTTGCTTTTGTGATCTTCATGATATTGCAGTGTTACCATATGTAAATATATATCCAGTAAGTGATTTAGTATTATGTGGATCTCACAAATATCTTGTATTCGCATAACCAAGTAAAACTGGTTTTGTATTGTTAGAATAAAATAAACCAAGGTCTGATGTACCTCGAAGATATCAGAATATATGCTTTATTCCTTTCCAATGTCTTTTTGTAGGACATGAACCGAATCTTGCTAGTAAAATTACTGCAAAAGATATATCAGGTCTTGTATAGTTAGCAAGGTACGTGAGTGCCCCAATGACACTGAGGTATTGTACTTATGAGTTAAGATCTTCTTCATTACCCTTCTTAGGTCTAAATGGGTCATTTTTAATGTTAAGTGTTTTACCCATCATTGGAGTACGTTGTTTTTGTTCATATTAAACATTTTCAATACAATTTCTATACAGTTTGATTGATGTACCAATATACCATTTTTAGTATACACAATTTGTAAGCCAATGCAGAACTTTATTTTTCCCAAATCTTTCCTTTCGAATTCTTTTTTTAAGTAATCACTTGCTTCCTTTATTTCTCTATTAGTTCAAATGATATTTAAATCATCAACATAGACAACAATTATTACAAAATCGGATATTGTTTTTCTTTAAAAACACAACGGCAAATATGATTGTTTTCATGGTCTTCTTTAAGCAAATATTCATTTAAACTATTATACCACATGCGCCCTGATTGTTTTAATCCATACAATGACCTTTGCAACTTAATTGCATACATTTCTCTAGGTTTTGATGTCTCGGGCATTTTAAATCCTTCTGAGATTTTCATGTATATATCAATATCAAGTGATCCATATAAATAAGCAGTAACAACATCCATAAGATACATATCAAGATTGTTAAATACTGATAAACCAATTAAATAACAAAAAAGTAATGGCATCCATAACAGGAGAATAAGTTACCTCATAATCGATTTATGATGTTTGGTAAAAATCTTGTGCAACAAGACGAGCCTTGTATTTGACAATCTCATTTTTCTCATTTCGTTTTCTTACAAAGACCCACTTATACCCAACTGGTTTCACATCTTTTGGTATAGTTGTAATGGGGCCAAATACTTTTCAATTTTTAAGAGGATTTAATTCAGTATCTATTGCATCCTTCCAATTTTTCTAATCATGTCTATTTTGACATTCATTCATAGTTCTTAGTTTGGGATCATCATTTTCATTCATAATTTCACATGCAATGGAGAATGAAAATATATCATCTATATTTATATCTTTTCGGTTCCACAAAGTTCCCGTATCAACATAATTAATTGAAATTTCAAGATCATTTTGTTTCCATTTTCATTATCAATGATCTCATTATCATCATCTTGTGCTTCTTCGAGAGCACATTTTTAAATTGTGGATTTATTATTATCTAGTGTCTTTTCAATATCACTTTCAATCATATCCACCTTTTCTATTCCTTTTCTTTTTCGGGGATTTTTGCCTTTGGATCCCATAGGTCGACCACGTTTCAAGTGTGCCTTAGATGTACTTGCTACATTATTTAGATTTGAAATATCAATCCGAGTTGGGACATTTATAGCTGGTACGCATGACTTTGTCACTCTTTTCAAATCAGTAAAAGAATCTGGCAATTGATTTACTAAATCTTGTAAGTGCATAATTTTCTTTACATTTTCTTCCCATGATTTATTATATGAGTCCAAATGTAATAAATGGGGTACAAACCATGTTATCTCATTTTCTAATTTTTTATTTTGTTCCCCTAGCGTTGAAAATTTTGTTTCGTCAAAATGACAATCAACAAATCTTACCTGAAAAACATCACTTGTTATAGGTTCAAGATATCTAATAATAGAAGGTGATTCATACCCCACATATATTCCCAACCTCCTTTGAGGATCCATCTTTGTTCTATGTGGTGGAGATATTGGGACATATACTGCACAATCAAATATCTTTAAATGAGAAATATTTGGTTCCTTACCAATTGCAAGTTGATAAGGTGTATGTTTATGATTAGCATTTGGCCTTAGACGGATGTGTGCTGCAGCATGTAAAATTTCATGACCCCAAATGGCAACTGGTAGTTTAGTTTTCATAATTAATAGTCTAGCAATATATTGAAGACATTTGATTAAAGACTCAGCTAAACCATTTTATGTATGCACATGAGGAATGGGATGTTCAACAGTAATTCCAATTGATATGCAATAATTATTCAATAACTCAAATGTAAAATCACCAACATTGTCAAGTCTGATTTTGTTTATAGTGTAATCAGAAAATTGAGCCCTTAGTTTAATTATTTGTGCAAGAAATTTTGCAAATGCCATATCACGACTTGATAGTAAACATATTGTCGCAACTGCGAAAAACACCCGGCGGAAAACAGAAAAGTCGTCACCTTTCTTTATTTATCCCAAAGAGAGGGAAAGGAAACGATCAAAAAAACCTAACGAAAAAGGGAAAAGACGAGGTCATCGCAACCAAGTCCTGGATTCGGGAGTCGGTTACGCAAGGGGAATGTATGAGCACCCCTCACGTCCATCGTACTCGACGGGATCCACGCTTGTTGTCTATCTAAGTGTGTGTTTAATCTATCTACGCTACAGACTCACAGAACAAAAAGAAAAGAATAGAGACTCAGTGGAGCATCGTCGCTCTGTGCCTATGTATTATCTCGTGCAATAGGAAAGTCAGAGTCAACGTAGTTCGGCTAACTACGGAGAAAAGAGGGGAAGGTTGCTCGCCAAAACATCGTCGTCTTGTGCCTACGTATCCTCATCTGGTATGAGAAATCAGAGCAAACATAGTTCGGGCGGACACGAAACCACAGGTTGATTAAGTGTTTTAACCGATTAGGGTTAAACCTCCGTTCCAACAATTAGGGACGATGCCTGTTTACGGTAGAACCGAAGTTTAACAACACTCTTTTTTACGAAAGAAAGGTTTTCGATTAATCCCGAAGGAAAAAGGTTTGAAATTTGTTTGTGTTTTTAGTGAAGTGAATTAATTCGGTTTGTGATTCACGTTGCACTAAAGACTATGACATAGGGGCGAATGCGTCGCGTATCGCCCTCAAACGGGACGTATACTAAACACTCTAGACGAGCGAGAGGAGACCCCTCACTTATCATTCCCCATGTAGCTTAAGGCTCGTAGCTGTCACACCCTCATTTTCACCTTTATCCTTTCATACCCTGCATTCATCATATCATACATTGTTCAATTGCATATCGAGCATGTGGGTTCACAAGGTAAGGATTGGGTCGGTTCGTTCCAAATAAGATAAATTGCTTATCCTGGGCTACATGGAAGAAAAGGTTCATCACATAAGGTTTGATTCAATTTGGAAAGTCCACTCATGTAGATTTCTTCAAGGAGAAGTTATTTGAAAAATATTGGGATTATCAAGATAAATATTCTTAATGAACATGAAATGCAAGGCCAAATTCAAGACTTTTTCATCCATGTTTGTTTCTATGGTCAAATGGAGTTCGAATTTGCAAAGCACGAGTCAAGATCACAAGTGCATAATCCAAGACTCCATTTATTTCAAATTCAATGGTATAAGGGAAATCCATCATTCAAAGTTCAAGATTCATGAATTCAAGGCTAGAATTTTACAAAGGGAAATTTCATGACATTTGCAAGAATGTCACATTTGTTACAAAAGTTTATAACTCTAAGCAATGCTTATAAAATTAAGCTATTTCTAGCCTTAATTCA